AAATCCAACCGTTAGATTGAAAGTTCATATCTCTTAGATCATATATGTCAAATTTTATATTAATCTAAGACAATTTGATACTTCATTCTCATAAAACAAAATTGACGTAATATATACATTTCAAAATATACTAAAATATGAACACTTTGATTACCTTCAAGTTGTTGTTCAATTTTAACAAAATTTGACATATATGATCTAAGAGATATGAACTTTCAATCCAACGGTTGGATTTTCAAAATTCACATTTAATATAAAGTTATTAAGCGGTGTAACAATTAGTAAAAGTTACACCGGTGTCGTTTGAACCCTCCTCTATATATATATATGACCTCTATTTAAAATTTAAAAATTATTTTTAATACAGGTTAAATATTATTTTGTTCAAAAGTTTAGTGAAATTTGGTAAAAGTTTAGGATTAAAAACACATTTAATAGTAGACTAAATGAAAAGTAATTTGTTTTTTTTGAAGTATTATATTATCTTAATAAACTTACATTTTATTAAAAAATTTATATATACTTTCTTTAGCATGAGGTACACGATTATTTTTTTTCTTTTTATAATTTTAAAATCATGACTAAAAATTATAAAGTCAGAAGTAATTATAAATTTTTTTTTTTTGAAAGATTACAATTAAGAAACAAGAAGAAATTGAAAATATTAAAATGTTAGTATGAGCACATAGAAAAATAAATCAAAATATAACATTAATATTTGTATGATGTCATTAATAAAAATAGGAGATATTTGATAAATTAAATAATTATTTCGTAAATATTGCAATGATTTTAAAGAGAACCGTTGTAATGTATGTAAAAAAAAAAATTACTCGGTCATTTTACTTATGTTACTTTCTTTCGAAAGGTTCCCTTAAACCTTTCAAAAGGAGATGCACCCCACCACTACACGAGACACACCCTACCACTGCACGAGATGCACCCCACCACTGCTCAAGACACAACCTGCCACCGCACGAGACTCCTGGTACGTATTTCACTTGCTTTTGCTTTTGATGGGGAGTGATTAAAAGGATTTTGGGGAGGGGGTTCGGATTATGCTGCATTGTTCAATTTCTTTTGATTTTTTTGATTTGGGGAAGGGTTTTTGACAAAGGGCTTGGAATCTGTCTTTTGATTGTCACTGTTGAAAGACCAGGGCCGTGGGAATTAGTGGAAGGATTGAGTTGATGGAAATGTGAATCTACTGAAGCATAAGGTTAACTTTTGACCCTTTTATCCTGTTTTCTCTGGATTTTGAATCGTATTCCGTTTCTTTTATTCTTTGTTTTGCTCTTTACAATGTTCTTCGAGCTCAATGTAGACTTTTCGTGTTTAGGGCTTATAAAAGGACCTTCCTTAGTAAGAGCTCATCGTTTCTTTTATTCTTTGCTTTGTTTTTTTTCTTTTATTAGCCTCTGTTTTAGAATATTATAATGGTATAAGAATTTTTGTTAATTGAATAACTCCACGTGCTGTTGTTGAGTGTCTTTTATTCATGAATTACACTCAACTTTTGGTACTCTTTTTGGATAAATTGTAAATATGTATATGATAATTTAACTATAATTAGGAAGAATTAAGTTTATATTAAAAGATAGAATAGTAGTAGAAAATTAATGATGATTTCCCTCGTTTTTTGCAAAAAATTTAGGAAGACAAAATTTCACAGCCATAGCTGTGGTTTTGGAGCTATAGTTGTGGAAATCTGGGAAGAAATCCGAAGGTCAGAAAGTTGCAGCTATAGCTATGGGTCAGCAGCTATAGCTGTGGAAATCTGGAATGCAAATTTAAGGGCCCAAAGACTTGAAGCTAAAGCTGTGGGCTCACAGCTAGAGCCATGGAACACTAGAGATTGAGAGAGAGCACTAGAGAGTCACAGCCATAGCTGTGAAATTCAAAGTTAAAGCGTTGGAGGTTCCTTAAACTTGAAGGAGTTTCCACAGCTATGGCTGTGAAACCACAGCTGCAGCTGTGAAGCTTACTTCACCTTGAAGGAGTTCCCGCAACCATAGTTGTGAATCTACAGCTGCAGCGGTGGGCTTAAAAATTACAATTCCTCCCCTGTTTTAAAGCTGATATAAAAGGGAAATGAGGGGTATTTTTTGGGGAAAAAAATAGAGAGAAAAACAAGAGCTGGGAGCATAGGAGGAAGAAAGAACAGAGTAGGAACAAAGATTTGGAGGCTGGATCACTTGGGAACGAGGATCAACTCCTTTTCTTCATCTCTTACTTTGTAATTTCTTCTTCCACTCCTTTGATCTTGTAAATGGCCATGAAGGGTTGAATCATTGAGAATTGTTCCGGATGTAACTACTAACTCATATTCTTCTTAAATATATATGCATTTCATTCTCATCACTTGTGTTTGATTTTTCTCTTAATGCTTATATCGGTTTGATCACCCGTTGTATGATTTTTGGTTTTTGAATCCGGTTGGAAAATGTTTTTGAAAACCCGAACTGAATCTTGCACCTAAACATCTCTTGCTCTAGGAATAGACTTGATTTGTTTAGTCACTTTGTTCAAGTCATTGTTCTTAATGCAAAGTGTTAATCATAAAACATAGAGGAATCATGTTTTAGATTAATCACTTTAGGATTCAACTTTGAGGGATCTTGTTGAATTACTAAATGAATGTGGAAGTCATGAAATTGAAATCATATTTGTTTTAAGAAGATTTAAGAGTTAGCAAGTACTCCTGAGTCCAATCCTTGCTTCTTATAATTGTTCTTATAAATTTTACATTATCGTTTTATTTTACGTCGCATTAATTCACTTTCAATCATATAAACGTCTCTATATTAATCATTAGAGTAAGAATTACTAAACTCTCAAATCCCTGAGGACGATACTTAAATACTACATTGAAACTTGTTCTGCTTGCCAAGTGGAGTGTTCCTAAAACCTCATCAGCTGTAGAGGATAATAATATCTTTTATGTCAATCCTTTATAATAACCACCTTTTCTGTAAAGTTATAATGGTATTTGAATTTATCCTATTTATTTATGTAAGGACAATATATAAAAAAAATTATTTTACACAGTCTGAATTTAATTGCAATTGTATCTCCTAATAGTAGCAACTTATATAATTATTGGTGATTACAGGGACATGAGCCATTTTTATCTGTCAATGGATTGCACCAGTTACATATCCTCATATTCTTCTTAGTAGTTTTTCATGTACTTTACAATGCTATCATAATGCTTCTCGGAAGACTAAGCCTTATGTCCTTTTCTTCTTGCTTTGTTAGCTACAATATTTATATACTTTTGGTCATGTGGTTAGATCATTAGGTGATGTGCCTTAAATCGATTTAATTTCAGACTTACCCTTGATGAAACCATAAATGTTGTTATAGTTCCGTTTAAGCACCAAACTTAGAGTTTTCTTTATGCAGATACGTGATTGTAAGGAATGGGAGGCAGAGACTTCTACTCATGATTATGAGTTCGCTCATGGAACAAGGAGTTTTTGGTATGTTTGGAACAAGGAGTTACTCAAGCAACAATGATGCTCAAATGAGGTTTGGGGGAGTGTCTTATTATGGAAGATTGATAGACATCATTGAACTTCACTAAAATGGGTTCACAATACCTATGTTTAAATGTGAATAGACTAATACCACAAACCCAAGAGGAATGAAGATAGACAAGTTGAGTTTTGTCTCTATTAATTTTTCCATACTAAGACATACTAGAGACCATGAAGATGATGAACCATACACTAATGCTTCAAAAGTTAAAATGGTTTATTACGTGGATGATGAGAAGGAACAAGGTTGGAATATACCAATTCATTTGAAGCCAAGAGACTTGTACAACATGGGAGAAAATGATGAAGCTATGCCATCCATTGAATCGTACCCATCACAAAATTTGGATCAAATTTTCCCTAATGATGCTAGTCATATACAATTGGAAAGAATGACAACAGATGATGATGAACTTGAAGGCTTAACTACCAATGTAGATTGTAATAATGACAATGAAGAAATGGTTTTCCCTAATGTTTTCTTTTATAAATTCTTTTAAGTGTATGGACTTGTGTTTATTAGTTATAGGAAATTCTTTTGAATGTATATTTTTTATCATCTTAGATTTAGAAGTTGATATTAATTGTGGTTTATATTTATAGATATGCTTCCTTCAAGATAAGTTGCTTCTAGGAGTAGATCCATGCCAAATCCACAAAATGAACCTAATGCATCTCATCAAAATGAACATGTTCCTCAACAAAGTGAGCCTATAGCTAATATTGAATCATCTCAAGAAGAGGTACAAGTTGAGACTAATGGGATTGAGAATGTACTTGAAAATCCATCGGTGGTTCGAAGAAAAACATATCCATATTGGATTGTTGATGTTATTGGTACATAATTAATTTTATTTAGTTTCTTATATATCTTTTTAATTGTTATATATGTTGTATTAACAATAAACTTTGTTGTATTAGATGGGGAAGGCCATATATCACAAACACGTCTACAAGTGCAAGATGTGTTTCCAATGACTGATAGTCCAACAAAGATATTGACACAATGGAATAGACACAATCAACCAGTGGATGATTCTTCTAGTTTGTTGGCGGGATTTTTAGGCCAAGTTGCTTCCAACTTTGGCAACTTTCCTGTATTGTATGAGAAATGGACATAGGTTCCTAAAAAGTATAAAAATAATGTTTTTGTTAACACGATACAGGTATTACGTAAAGTTAAATGAAAATGATGTTTGATTTATTTTATGTATTTTGTGTCTAACATGATTGTTTATTTTGATTTTGCAGGCTAATTTTGTTGTTAACGGTGAAGATCACAAAGAATACATCTTTTGGAGATTGGGAAAGAAATGGAAGGAAAAATGGTATAGATTGTTTGATAAATAACATGATTGGGAAAAATTCATGGAGCAAAATATTCAGAATCACCCACTGCACATTCCCTAAAATCATTGAGAAATTTTTGTGCATTACAGATAAAGCACTAAAGCAATTGTAATAACAATTTCATTTAATTTCAATAGAAAGTTACTAGATCAAATTTTCTTTTATTTTCATCAATTGAACATACTATGTGATTTTATCATGGTTATATCTTATTTAGTGAGACTATGTCTAAATGTGTGCAAAATCTATTTTTTGGAAAATGTTTGTAGAATCATATGTTTGGTTGTGTTGAAACATCTATGTAGAATTTTTGTTTTATTTTTATTTTCTTCCTCTTTTTCCTATTATTTGTATGAATGCATTATGTTAATTAAGAGTTTTTACTTATTTTTATTAATTTTTTGTTTTATTCCAGACACCTGACTTAGAATCACCCATAAATGGAAAACCTTCCTTTGAAGGGAGTCATATTCCTAAAGGTCATGACTTAGATCACTTGCCACTGTTTAGTTTATTTTTTATTTTTAATTTATGCACTTTAATTATGAAATTTAAATACATACTTGTGTGTTTTCTTTGGATTTGTTTAATATTATATGAGAAGCATAATTTAATACTCTATATGTTTATGAATTTTATTTTATTTTATTATTAGCTTATGTTATTTAATTTTGTCTAATCATATTACAGTTGAAATAAAAATAATAGATAGGAAAGTATTATAACAAAAAATATATAAAATGATTGTTATATATATTATTGTAATAATTACTAAATTGTAATCTAATTAGTGTTTAATTGTATTGTAATATATAAAATATTAATAAGTATGCATTAACCTCTACTAAATTGTAATGCAAAAGATTTATAAAAATAAAATAAAATAATGATTGATATATTTTTAAAAAAGTGATATGAAATTTATTTAAAAATATAAATTAATTTTTAAAAAATAATTGCAACAATTAAAGAATAAATTAATTTTAAAAATGATTTAAAATTTAATTTTAAAAAATAAATAATAAATATTGCGTCATTTAAATAACTGTCACAATGTTAATATAGAGGCAGTTTGTGTGATGATTGACTGAAGGGTCGTAATGTTAATATAGAGGCAGTTTGTGTAACGGGTGACGCAAGGGTCGCAATATTAATATAGAAGTAGTTCAGGTGACAGGTAATTGAAGGGTCGCAATGTTAATATAGAGGCAGTTGGTGCGACGGGGGCTCTAAGAGTCGCAATTTCGATTTTGTGAAAGTTTGTGCAACGGTTTTTGTAACTGTCGCAAAATTCACTCGTGACAAATAATTCTGGGACAGTTGGTGAATTGTCGCAATGTCGTCTTTGTGGCGATTCTAACCGTCGCAATGTAGGCTATATAACCGTTGCAAAATTGTCATTTTCTTGTAGTGCTAGTATTATCACACCTTAAAGGAACGTTTTCTACTCTTATACCATAGTTCATTAATTGTTTCATCTATAGAAGTTGAGCACAACAACTTTTAGTAGCTGTGTATTTAGTCTCAACTGTACTCAAAGCAACACAAGCTAACTTCTTACTATGCCATGAAACTAATGGACTTCCTAAAAGATGACAAGTACCACTAGTACTCTTTCTATCTAGTAAACTTACTTTATTCAATAACTCATGTTCTACATCAAATTTCAACGATCAATCCGTTAAATTTAAAGTTCTTAATATATAAATCAAGTCTGCAAATTTTTTAAAAATTTGAAAACTATTTGATACTTTATTTCACTAATTCAAATTGACTAATAATCATAAAATCATTTTATACCTTGATTTGAATTAATGAAATCATGTATCAAATGTTTTTCAAATTTTTAAAGAATTTGCAAACTAGATCTATGCATTAAGAACTTTAAATTCAACGATTATATCGTTAAAATTTGATATAGAACGAGTAAGTCTAGATAAATATAGTCTTAAAGTAAATAGACCCGTTGCGCGTGTACACACACATATATATATATATATATATAAGGAGAGAGAATGATTTGTTTACTCTAAGAGTAAGCTTTCCAAGACTTACTTTGTTTAATATCTCATGTTTTAACTATTTTAGTCTTGTAGCTAATCAGTGTGGGATCTGAAACAGTTTTCCACGTGTTAAGATTGGATATCTCGAACATGGTATGTACATCATTTTAATCTTATGACTAATTGATATGAGATTTCTAATACACCATTTAAATATCTACAAGTTATTTAATAGAGTGATACGTTAGACTCAACAATAATCATTAATATAAACTCTAATATTATTTAAAAAATTATAATCTATTATCAAATAATAAGATATCGAACGATTTATACTCGCGTGTCATTCGAGAGTGTTTCCAGAAAAAACGAAAGCAACAAAACTATAATTACCATAGCCACCAACACTAGAATAACAAAATTTTACTTTTACATTTCATCAAATAACTTAAAACACCAATCTCGGAGCATGCAATATCATCAAATGATATATAGCCCATTACTTGTTTATCAGAGGATTAATCAGCAACACATCAGCCGTGCTAAATAGTACGAAAAATCATGAACGAACGTACTAACTAGCAATTTCCTACTACATACTTCTCATAGTAACAGGTACTATAGGTTAAACTGGATTCATCTTAATCATTAATTTTAATTATAGGGTTTATACTACTCGCATAATATACTTGTATAGTTTATACAAAAGATTAAAAAGAAGAGGATAAAGATAAATTAAGGTATGTGGCAATAAAAGTAATGTGATGCAGAAGAATAAATAAATAACATTGCAAGAAGTGTTGTAAAATAATTTTCACTAGTTATAGTGGGGAATAGTGAGATGAAATAAAAATCTTGGGGTGGAATTATAGAATAATGCCAAAAGCAGGGTTACAAAGTTGCGAAGACCTTAAAGGTGCTTTAATCATAGCAATAAACCTTGACAAGTTCCTTTCAAGGGGAAACAGGGGAAGCAGGGAACACAGAGTTTTTAACCCTTTATCTTTTTCCCATGCATGCACTTATATTCATACTATACTATTTTTACCTCCAATGGTTAACAACATGAAGAACAGACATACCCATACGGCAGGGTAACCCCATTTGTACTTGATAACTACGTTTCATCACTTAACTTGAACCAATTGGTCAATAACCATGATGCAAACCCCTTTTATCCAGGATGAGTTGCTATATATAACACTGCTTCTTTCTTCGTGTGCAATTCGATTGGTGCAATTGCATAAGAGAAAGAGTTATGGAAGCTACACAAATTAGAGAAGAAAATGGAGGGAGAAAGGGGGTTCAGGGAGGTGATGCACAGAAAGAAAATGAAGACATTCTAAAGAAGATCATTGCAAGTCATCCTTTGTATGAAGTTCTGATTGAATCTCACATCAACTGCTTGAAGGTAATCTTTTCTCCTATCTTTCTTTTGCTGTTTTTGACTTAAAACTATTAGTGTGGAATTAATTATTATGGTCCACGGTCAACAATTAAGAGAAAAGGACAAAAGCCATTTAAAACATACATTTAAGTTTTAAATAGTAACTACTAACGATAGTAACGTAGCTAAGGACCACCTACATGGCTACATTTTTCTCAAAAGTATTTGATACAAATACATACAAGTGATAAATTGGATTTTGTAGTGGCTATAATATTTGGTAACATGAGAGTAATTTAAAACCTTACTAAAACAAGAGAAACGTGGCTCCCACTTTAATATAACAAAAACACTAGTTTAAGAAAACAAATCTTACCTTGTTCTTGTTGTCAATTTTATGACTTTTGTCATATTTCTTTTTCTACTTTAAAAGTGGGTCGAGTTTTGTTATATTCTTTAATTTTGGGGGAATATATATATAATGCATGCATATAATAAAGATACAAAATAAATAAGATATAAATAATTTGTTTGGTGTATAATGATCACAACAAAATTTAAAGTTAAGATTTTGTATAAATTATCACAATCTTTATTATTAGACTCATTCAAGTTATTTCATAGATAATTATATACAATGTCACTAAAATAACATAATTGTGTTTACAATGTGAAAAGGCTAGAAATTTTTGCATAAATAAATATACACATGATAATTTTGTGAAATTAGTGTGAATTAGGTATAATATGAATTTCGGATTTTATTTAAGTAAACTTCTTTAAAATCAAATTAGTTTATACATAAAATAATTTATGTATACATTCCAAGCCTTTTTATGAAAAAGTCTGTGCAAAAATTCTCAGTGATGTTAGGAAAGGTAAGACAAGTTAAAAGCTTATGTATTAATTTGAGTGTGCGTGTACTTTACTCCATTGGTTGAATTCAGGTGGGATTGAACGGAGGTGGAGAGGTTGATGCAACAACTGCTGCATGGAAGAAGTTGGTCGACTCCAAGTCCAAAGCAACTTCTAGTCCTAACACTTCAGAGTTAGATCACTTCATGGTATCACAATTAATTACCAACTTAGAGTCTCTTTACACAAATTTAAAAGTGTTTTTATAGTTTTTTTTTTTATAAAATATATTCTTTATTTTTTATATATAAGTTATCAAAAATATATTTTTAACATATTTAAAAAAGATTCTTAATAACATGCATGTGACTTTGAATTTTGAAAGTCTTCATGTGTTTGACATGATTTCTAAAGAAATGAACTTCATAGGAAAATTGACATGCAGCTTCAACAAGGTAAACTTGTTGATTAGAGTATAACAATTTTGGAAATTAAATTTTACCAACATGGTACCTTTCAGCTACTGCAACATGGAGAAATAAGAATGATGAAAAATGTTTGCTGAAAATAAGACTAGTTTAAAAATGATAACATTGTATATTTGTGTGATTGGATAGGAAGCGTATTGCATGGCACTGAGGAAGCTGAAGGAAGCGATAGAAGAACCAACAAAAGAAACAAATGCTTTCATCAGAGCTACGTATCTTCAACTAAAGGAACTCAATCACCCATAACTTTTTATAAGCACTGCGAATATCGATGATGCTTTCTCTCGTTTGTGCAACTTTGTCGTTAGTTACTTACTTTAATTAATTAACTCGTTTTCTACGACATCTACCCTCAACTAGTGCGTGTAGTATTATTATTATATATGTTCGTGTCGACATTTATATGGTGTATATTAGAGTGGTACTATATATGGTTTTGGAAACGACTACGAATGACACTAATGTTTTTATCATGAAATGGAATTAGAACACGACTAAATTGATGTAATGTTACATTTGTTTATGGTGGTCAAAATAATCAGAATCCGTAGATTTAATAATAGATTATTGAAGGTTGGGATGAATTGGGTATAATTTTTTTTTATGGTGTTCTTAAAATTTTAATTATTTTAAGAGAAAATATTATTTACGTACACATATATACTCATGTACAATCACAAGTTCGTCATCGCATACTCAACAAGATGCCGATGCTGGAGACAATATATATGCACGGAGAGAAGGGAACTGAGGGACGACAATTTTTTTTATTTTATTTATATATATATATATATATTATCTAATTTTATTACGGGTAAAGAAGTCATTAACTAATTTTTAATTAAAAAATTGAGTTATAAAAAAAGTGCTGTAACAGATTACTCTTAAATATGGATCATAGTGGACAGAGATGGATAAAAGGGGGCATGCAGGCCCTTGACTTCTTAGGAAAAATTATATAATAAAATCTATGTATTATACTAAATATACAATTATATTAAGAAAATTATTAAAAGATAATGCATGTTTTATATAATTGATGATGGAAACTTCAAAGAAAGACTTGATTGATGTAATTTTTCCTTCAAGCTTCTAGAATAGATCTTTCTCTTCTTGGTCTCCTTCTAATTTCATCAATGGCTTCCTAAAGTGTTAGAAGCCATTTTCAAACACCCAAGGTAGGGTAGGAAACTACCTTGGTGACGCCACACTTATGTGAGGAATAAGTCCCTTCAATTCTCACCACACTCAAAAGAGGATAAGAGAAAACGATTAAGTTTCAAGAAGAGAAACAAGTTTTGAGACAGAGAATTAGAGAAAATTCATCCAATTCATGTTTACACTCAAAGTAAGTTTTGGTCAATACAAGGAAAACCTATATATAGGAGTTGGTTGGCTTATAGTGCAAGCTAGACTAACCATGGTCAAATCTAATCATGGTTAGCTATCTTGTACTTAAGCTAACCAACCATAGTTAACTCTCTAGAAGTTTATGAAGTAAGTTAAGCTAATCCTAGTCTAGAAGTAACCTATGTTAGCTTAAGTTAACTACAACTACCTAACTTAATCATGACAACTAACTAACTAATGATTACTTTTAACAAATTTGTTAAGATGTAACTATCAAAGCCATGTGACTTATTTAACAACTTGGATGGCTAATTTGGCTAGGTTTGGACGTCCAAACCTATCGGCCTAAGAAAAAGTTTGGGTCATTCAAGCCCAAATAAGTTTATAGCTTAAGCTAGTTATACATTTCCTAAACTACTAATTACACCTTTAAAGAAAAATTATACAAGAACAAAAATTCTTATACTACTTGACCTAAAATACAAGGTTAAAAATATCTTATACAATATATACAATGGGAGATTAAGTAACTAGGAGAACACATACTCTATGCCCATGAATCACATCATCCTCTCTAGTAGTTTCCTCTAGCTACCTAATCATAGACCTTGTCAAAGGTCCTATGGTCTTCCAGGATGGTCCTCCATCAACTGATGACTTTATAATTTTAAAGAATGATATTTATAAGTTAGATAAATAATATTAATCTTATTTTATTCCTTATATTTAAATTTTGTTAAGGAATCTGTTCAAATATTGTCATATAAACTCTACCTACTAGTATTCGTGTTAGTGAAAATATCACATTAAATCTAGCTAATACTGCATAACTATCTCAATCTGTCACTTTTAGATATGTTATTGGTGACCTAAGAGACTAAATGAGATTTTTGAAAATTACAAGAACTAAAAATAAAAATTTTAAATTTGAGGGACCAAAAATAAATTTATCCTAAATTTGAAGGACTAAAAACATATTGAAGTCTAATATTTATTTAAATTAGACTCAATTTCACTTTTGGTCCTCTATAATATTTCAATTCACAATTTTTGGTCCTTTTACTTCTAATTTTGCAAATTTAGTCCCTTAATTTTATAAAATTTACAATTTTGTTCCATTCATTAAATGTTTATTTTTCAATTGTTAAAATTGCAACGTTGGTCGTAGCTTAACACTAGTTAGATGACCAAATAATATTTGTTCGAATATTGAATTGAGAGAATTTCATTTGTTATTTGTTATCCTCTGTACATGAGCCATATTTATATTAAAGTAATATGTTCAACACTAGTTGTTATAATTGACCATAAGCCAGTTATAACAATTTAACAATAACAAATAATAGAAATAAAAAATATGTGAAAAATAAAAATTGAGAAATGATATTCTCTTACACCACCCACAAGTTCAAGGATGAGGTGAAGGCTGAAGCTTAGAAACATTGAGCTTGGTGCACATACTCAAAAATAGAAAGGAGATAATGGTTTGGTGAGAATATTCTCCCATTGATCTTGAGTAGGAACATGTATAATAGAAAGTTGTTTTACAACTTTTTCTCGAACGAAGAAAAAATCAATCTCTATGTGTTCGGTCTTGGCATGCAAAATTGGATTGTGAGATAAAAACACAGTTCTTTGATTATCACAAAGAATTAAAGGATGAGAGATAAAGACCATAAGCTCTTTTAATAGAGTTTGCACCCAAAGAACATCAGAAGTGGCTTAAGCCAGGCTATGATATTTTGTTTCAACAATTGTTTGCTAATTATGCGATCGTCATGAAATGATACTAGGAGCAAGATGAGTAGTCACTCTTGAGGTAGATCTTTTTTCATCAGGATTAAAAGCCCAATCAGCATCATAGAAGGCACAAAGAAAAAAGTGCTTTCTTGGAATAGTAGAAGAAGAGGACAACCCATAGTGAATGGTTCCTTTTAAGTAGTGCATAATGTGTTTTACAACTGCCTAATGACTGTTGAGTGGGAGGCCATACACTAACAAACTTTATTTACTGCAAAACTTAGCTATGATCTAGTGATTGTGATGTATTGGAGTGCTCTCGCAATAGAATGATACAAGGTAGGATCTTGATCAAAGTCAATACTTGCTTTTGAAAGCATGTTATCACTAATCATATGGGTTGAGATGGGTTTAGAATCAAACATAGAGACCTTGTTGAGAAAATTACAAATATATTTGCTTTAGAAAAGTAAAAGAGATCCATCTAGTTGTTGTATTACTTCAATACTCAAAAAATAGTTGAGTTGACCAAGATCTTTACGTGTGAATTTCATGTTAAGTTTATGAGTGAGATATTGTAGAAATGAAGGGCAATTTCCTACGATGATGATATCATCAATGTAGACCAACAAATAAACTACTTGAGTGTTGACAGAGTAAATGAACAAAGAAGGATCACACTTGTTGGCTAAGAAACGAAGTTGGAGTAAAGTATCTTTCAGTTTATCAAACCAACCTCATGGAGCCTACTTAAGACCATAAATTGCTTTATTCAACTTACGTACAAGAGACTTATCTTCAATTTCAAATCCAAGAGGTTGAGTCATGTATACTTCTTTTAGAATTCCATGTAGAAACACATTGTTGATGTGTAGCTAGTGTAAAAACCAGCCATGAGTCAAGGTTGAGGCTAGAATGATTCTTATAGTGATAGGCTTGATAACAGGGGGAAATAAAATGTTTTTGTGAAATCAAACCCATATTGTTGGTTGAAACCCTTGACAACCAACCTTGCCTTATATTTATTTAAGGAACCATCAATATTTTCTTTCACACGAAAGACCCAATTACATCCAATGGGTGTTTTGCTAGGTGGGAGAGGGGTCAGTTTCCATGTCTTGTTTTTTTGTAGTGTTGTGAACTCAATTTGCATGGCTACATACCAAATAGAGTCCTAAACAGCCTGTTTAACTATTTTTGGTTCAACATGGGTAAGTAGTACTATGGGATGGATACGAGGTCTAACAATACCAAATTTGGATCTTATTTGCATAAGATATGTATTGAGAGGTTGAGGTAGAAAGTTTACTTATTTAAAAGAAGAACCACTGTTAGTGGTTATGTTAAGGAAACTATTTGGTGACACTAGGAGGTTAGATGGTTGATTGGAAGGTGTATTGACAGGATCATTTTCTAAAGGATATACAAAAAGTGGTACTACAAGGTGTGGTGCAAAAAAAAGGTATAGTAGCTATTGGTAGTTGAGTATATGAATTATAGGTGATACTTTGTTGAAAAATTGAAGGATAGGGAAACCTTGTCTTATTAAAGACCACATCCTTAGAGATGACAATTTTGCTACATGGAGTGAGACATTTGTAACCTGTATCCATAGTGGAATAGCTGAAAAACACATATTTTTCATACCTAAAATCTAGTTTGTGTTTGTTATATGGTCGAAGTAATGGATAACACAAACAACCAAACACCTATAGGAAATAGCTGAAAAGGAATACCAAAATTCACTGAAGTTGATGGCAATCGATTTATCAAATAGATAGTTGCAACAAATGCATGATCCTAGTAATCCATAGGCAAAAGTGTTTGATGTAGAAGAGTCAACCCATGTTCCACAATATGTTGATGTTTTCTTTCTATAATACTATTTTGATGATGGGCATGAGAGAAAATGACCTTATGTATGATACCAGAATCCTTTAAATAGCTTGTGAGAGATCTGAATTCACCACCCAAGTTGTTTGAATTTCTTTCATTGGATAGCTAAACTGAAGTTCCACCATTTTCTTGAACTGCTTAAAGATCTCAAAAGTGTCAGCCTTTGACTTTAGTAGATAAAGCCAAGTGAACTAAGAATGAGCATCAACAAAGGAAAAATAATACATGTAATTATTAGTGGAAATTATAGGAGTTGGTTCCCACAAGTTGCTATAGACAAGTTCAAAGGGATTATGATATATGGAAGTAGATCTATTAGATGGTAAGTGATGTGATTTTTCAACACAACATAATGAAAAAAAAAAAATCAAATGCACTTTTATTCGGTATGAAAATATTACACTAAGACACAACCATTTTTAATATATGTA